TGAAGTATATTAAAGCTCTGCCAAAATTGACATTTGGTATCGATGTACAGTTGAAGCTTAGCAGTTGAAGTTGTTAACAGTTCAGTCCAGCCCAGATATTTTCAGTCTAGCCCGGATTAGAGCCTCCCATCCAAACAGAAATGGAGTTACAGCTGTCTTTTTATTTTTCTAGAGTGGGTATTTATTTTTATAGTTTTGTAAAAGGCAGTTCTGCCTAAGACAGCTTAAATTCCATCAACCATTCTGGCCAGAACAACCTCTTTTTACTGAGATAAATTGTTAAAGTCCTCACTAGTCTAAGGCAAGAAAAGAACTTACTTGGGAGATATTCCTCACCCAAATAAACAATCGTTTGTTTATAGAAATCAGTGACTTAAGGCGCAAGTTATCTATTCTAGAATAAGTATACTAGAATCTTCATTGCTAGCAGTGGCACGCTCATACACCAAAGAAAGCTGACTTGTTGACCAGTCAATGGTTTCCAAGGCAGTGGGGAACTTTGCCCTTCTATCTCAGGAGAAATCAAAAAACGGGGTGAACAATTTGGCACGCCCAGTAGGACTTCTCAGTATACATACTCTGACATAATTCTTTTCAAGTTTATGAATATTGGAAGCTCTAGCCAGAACCTGCACCACGTTATGGAGATAAACCAGGTAGCTCTCAGGGAAGGTCTGGAGTCAGAAGAAAGTGATGCCAGGCAGTCAGCCCACGGCAGTACAGGAAGTAGACGTTCCAGGACCGGCTCAAGAAGGATGAATTAAATACAGGAATCTGTGCTCCGATAGGAGGTTACAACACAGAGAAGCCAAGATACTCTGAACAACATGATAGCCATGATGCAATGGCAGGTTAACAGGCAGTTCAGGAAAGACCGAGAGGCTACCATGGCCAGGATCCCAAATCCGGATGCTGTTGTCCAACAGCTAGACCTTCCCTATGGCCCTCCACCAGGATTAGCATGGCCATACCAGGAAAACCCTCTCATTGCATAAATTACTGGAATACTAGGGCATGGAGAGATTCAGGCAGGACAGAGTTGAGGAGCCCTTCTTGTCCAAGAACGTGAGGCCCCAGCTCGGCCAGAAGGCCCTGCACTAGTTCAGATGTAGCAGAACTAGCCAGAACCTCACCCTATTCCACAGGATCAACCTTTGGCACTTCTGTCTTAGCCACCAGCAGTGTTGCCTTATAGACCTAGAAGGATGAATCCCAATCCATTCCCTCCACCTACAAGAGGCAGAAGAGGCGAGAGGAGTAATAACCTTTTTGCCAACAATGACAGGAACAGGCTGAGGGCAAACTGGAGTAATAATCTAGATCTGGAAGAACAGAAAGAACACAGGGAGGAAGTTCTGCCCAGGCCATACAGAGTAGAGCCCAGGATTGATTACGCCCAGCCAAAACAGGGGCGAAGTCACCACCCTGTCAATGCTCTAAATGACGTGGGGGCATTACAAAGGATCAGAGAGATGATGGAGCCTGAAGCTAGAAGAAGAGAGAGGCCCACCTATAGGAAGCCATATCCGGCTTATATCGATCAAATGCCTCTATCCCCGGGTTTTAAGGTGCCAAACTTCACCTTATTCAACGGAGAGGATCCCCATGCTTCATTAGTTGAGCACATAGGTAGGTTCTCTGTCCAATGCATAGCCATAGAGAACAATCCTCTTTTGAAGTTGAGGCTTTTACTTGGTACACCAGCCTGCCAGCTAATTCTGTTCAAACCTGGGAGCAGATGGAAAGTGTTTTCCACGACTATTATTACAGGATTCAGCCAAAAGTCACCATCAATGACCTTGCTGCCCTCAAACAGAGTGAAGATGAACCTGCTTAAGACTTCATAACCAGGTTCAGGAAGCTCAAAATGAAGTGCCGAATCCCTATGGAAGAAAGTCACTTCATCCAGATAGCTCAAGCTGCCCTCAAGATCTCTCTGAGAAAAAGATTTGATGGGATGTTGTTTGAAGACCTGGCAGAACTGGCAGATAAAGCATCCAAGTATGAGGAACTGCTTAGGGAAGAACAGCAGAAGAGGAACTCATCCAAAGGCAAGTATTACAAGTCACCTTCCTCTTCAATACATCTAGTTCAGGTAGAATCAGAAGAGGACGTAGAATGCTCAGAGGAGGGAGAAGTTGCAGTAGCAGAAATGGCAAAATTGAAACATCCCATCAGCTGCAAGGCCCTTACTAAGCCACCAAAGGATCAGAAGCCGCCACCTTTCACAGGAGGGTTTGTTCCAAGCAAACCAACACAGAACAAGATTTATTCCTTTGATCTAACCAAGGTGGATGCTTTATTTGATGAAATATTGATGCAAAATGCAATAGAGACACCCCACAGGATGCCCAAGACAGAAGAGCTCAAGGGCAGGCAGTATTGCAGGTGGCACAACTCTTGGAACCATTCTACCAATAGTTGTGTAGTTTTCAGAGATGCTATACAGGAAGGAATAGCAGCAGGAAGGTTGAAACTGGCGGAGAAATCTCCTTCAGTCACAACAGATCCTTTTCCCCAACCACAAGTCAACATGGTCAACTTAAATTGGCCAGAACAGAAGAGAAGCAAGCCAACGACATAAGCCAGTTCCAGCAGAGGCATAATGGTTTCAAAGGAAACTATTAAAAGGCCAAAAGCAACTATCTCAGCTGGAGTAGTGCTCTACAGCAAGTGCAAATGTGAAGCTGAGCTAGAAGTGGTCCTGGACAGGTAGAGTCAGCCTATTCCGAGTGTTTTTGACAGGAGTGGAACCTCATCCCGAGATAGAGCCAGGCTGAAGGAGTATCCCAGACCAGCCCAACATAGCAAGAGGATGACAGAGCAACCTCTGGCTACTATCACAGAAGGAAGGTGGTATGCTGTCGGGAAAAGTAGCAGACCAACTATAGAATTAACTAGAACCCAGAAGAGGAGGGTTCAAAGGCAATACTGCATATTCCTCAAGAACAAAAGTGATGCATAGGTACCTCCGGAGACCATTTCTGACAGAAAAGGGAAAGATCCGGAAATACCTTCCCAGGCAGAACAAGGAATCTAGCCACAGAAAATGTTGAAAGCTGGATCTCCAGTTAAGCCTTCTATCCATCTTGCTTCATCCTCAGACAATCAACCTATTCTAGTAGAAGGGCAAGAAGACTGGACTGAGGAAAATGAAGAGGAGCAGCTAGATTATGAGCCATTTGCAGATGACCAAAATGCACTCCTCGAAACAGGAGAACAGGAAGACTGGATAGAAGAATTCGAGGAGGAACAGATGGAATATGATGGGGAATTAGATGCAGAAACTGAAGCTTTTGGTGCAGAATTGGAAAACCTGTTGCAGGGTGATTTGGGCATCAACATGGTGTTCATTCTGCCAGAAAAGTTTAGAGCTGCAGAAGGACAAGAAAGCACTCTAGAGGGAGATGTTTTTCCCCAGGAAAGTTTCGAATGCAGGTTAGCAGAAGCAGAGGAGGTACCAGAACTACCAACAAACTAACCACAGAAAAGCTTTGTTTCTCCAAACCAACCAAGGAGATGGCCAATCATCTCAGACCTTTGTTTATAACAACAAATTTTGGAGGTGTTCCTATTCCCAAAGTCATGGCAGATGGAGGTGCAGCCATTAATCTTCTGCCTCACAGAATGCTGAGCAAAATGGGCAGAATAGAGAAAGACTTGATCCCAACACGCTTAACTGTCACCAACTTTGCAGGGGGCATCACCAAAACTCATGGGATCCAAGATGTGGATGTCATAGTTGGAAGCAAATAGCTGAAGATTGCATTCTTTGTGGTAGACACCACTTCCACCACCTATAATAAACTGCTTGGTAGGGATTGGATTCACCAGAGTCTGTGTGTTCCCTCCACTCTTCACCAGCAATAGCTCTGTGGAATGAAGAAGGTTACATGGAGATAGTAGAGGCCAATCCACGGCCATTTCTGCCTTCTGCCATATGTTTTGAGGCAAGGTACTATCATGATGACCTCGGTGTTTTCACCTTCCTTGGAGTCAACCAGAACAGCCGCCCCCATGGTGTCATGGCCCAGAGGCTCATTGAAGATGGTCTAACCAGTTCCTTAGAGGACTGGAATAGACCTTTTGTTCTAAACTTTTAGAACTCTGATGTTTAGTGCCAATCAACAGGAGAAGGATCGAGCAGCAACAATCCGATCCGTTACATGATAGGAGCATATTTATGTGACTTTGCAATCTTATTTCTTTGCATTTACTTTGTTAATTCCCATTTATTTGAGTGATTTAGCTTATTTTCGTACTATTGTAGGTCCAGATGGCAAGATTGGCAAGAAAGGGCATTTTGGAGCATTTTAGAGCAGTTTTGGACTTGGAATGGATAGCATATGCATGGGCCAAGATGGATGGACGTTTTTGAAGATCAAAGAGGCTAGGAATGTGCTAAAAAGATGGGGAAATTAATTCAAGAATCAGCTTCTGGGAAGTGAAAAACCCTAACCGATTTTATTTTATTTTACCTTATCCTAATCATATGCATGGGGGGGATTAATTTCAGATTAGGAAACCTATAATTTTGTGGGTTTCTGTTGGGCCTTATCCTTGTTCCTAAAGAAATCTGCCAAACAAAACCCTAATTCTATGGGTTTATGCTGGGCCCTTTTACCCTAGATCTACCACATATATAAAGGAGGGGTTGCCACAGGAGAAGGGAGTTCTTTGGAGTGCCGTAGCAAGAAGGAGAAAGAGAGAAGAAGAACGTGGAGCCGGAACTTACTGCATTCATTGGGGTTTTCACCTTCCCTTGATTAGTTCAAATGTTTATTCTAGATTGCTTTTCAATTATTATGAACATGTGTGACTGAATTTCTTCTTAGTTAGAGGTGAATTCGAAGCCATAGACATATGTTTTATATGAATTGATTACTTCCAGTTATGGTTTCATAAAGTATGCATGTGATTTACTTTTCTGTTTTATTGAGAACTTATTCTTGTATGTTTATTAATGATGCATACTTAGTTTGCATGCAGGGATTTGATGCTAGAATATAAGGGAATTTCACATCATCGTTATGAACATATATTCACAAGTAGTAAAAGTCACTAGTCATGATTGCGTTAAGTAAATTCCTGGCAGGAGTATCATGCTTTTCATAGTTACAATTGCCTTGTCAAGGCTTATGATTTTCATAGAACTTGATGATCTTTCATATGCATCTCTATCATGTTGTTCATATAGGGAACTTGATAAGGATAATTTGATTGCATCACTGAGTCCAATTCAATGAACTTAGGAAAATCTGAGAGTTAATTAGTGCATTCACAACTATTTTGGGGCTTTGTCATTCATACTTTATAGAAAGAGTAACTGGAGATCGATTTGTGTGCATATGTTCCATGTGTGGAGAAGAATCCTCTAGCTATCCCTTAATCCATATTTCATTCACAACTTAGTTGTTTGCTGCTGTCAGTTTTACTTTAGTGTAAATCATCAGAATTCCCCACAATCATTGTTCCCTTAACTTAGTTTCCAGTTTAATAAGTTTAATTTGTGTTGATTAGCATCCCTTCTAATCCCCGAAATAGAACGATCCCTACTTACTCGTACTACGATTGCATGATTTATAGGGTTTAATTTGTGCGTTAGTTTTTTATTACGCCAAATTTTGGCGCCGTTGCCGGGGATTAGAAAAATTGCTAATCTTCCGTTTGTTTTCGTTTTTCTTGTGTTTCTGATTTTGTTTTGTTTTGTTTTCTTTGTTTTAGGTACTAGTTTATGACTCGAAGTTCACACCCTGTTCGTGCACACATATTGTACTTTGACGACGATTTCGAACGAACTTTGAGAAGGAAGGGGAAGCAGCCAGAACTCAATCCCTCTAGTTCTAGTTCCGAACCTGAATATGAATCTGAAACGGACTTGGAAGAGGAACAAGATATGGCTGTAGACAATCGAACAATCAAGGAACTTTCAGCCTCTGGATTGGACGCTACAGTCCCTCTTTGCATTCAATACCCTAGGGCAGCTGCAGGTAAGACCGATGAGTTTGAATTGAAGTCGAGTTTGCTACATCACATTCCCAAATACCATGGGCTGTCCATGGAAGATCCAAACAAGCATTTGAAGGAATTTGAAGTAGTATGTTCAAGTATGACACCCATTAACGTGGATGGAAATATTTTGAAGATGAAAGCCTTCCCATTCTCTCTTATGGAGAAGGTTAAAGATTGGCTCTATGAACTAGCACCTGGAACCGTCACTTCTTGGGAAAGTATGAAGAAAGCATTCTTAGAGAAATTCTTCCCAACTTTAAGAGTCATTCTTTTGAGGAAGAAAATTAGTGGAATTCAACAAGGCCCGGGAGAATCCTTTCCAGGGTACTATGAGCATTTTAAGACGTTAGTTGCATCCTATCCACAACATCAAATGAAGGAAGAGCTTTTAATTCAATATTTCTATGAAGGACTACTTCCACTGGAGAGATAAATGCTTGATGCTTCAGCGGGAGGTGCCTTGGTTGACAAAACACTAGTTGATGCGAAGATCTTAATAGCAAACCGAGCTTTGAATGCACAACAATACGAAGGAGTTGGAGGGAGAGATCATACACGGCCAAGTCCAGTTAATGAGGTAAGTGCTATTTCGGAACTTCAATCTCAAATGGCTAATCTCTCTACTCTTATTTCGCAGGTTGTTGAAGGATCCAAAGTGCAAAGTACAGCCACTTGTAGCGTGTGCTCTATGCATGGACACCCCACTGATCAATGTCCTCAATTAATAGAGAATGGGGGATGGGAAAGTGCCAATGCCGTAGGTTATCAAGGCCAAAATCAACCTAGGTATGACCCGTTTTCAAACACCTACAATCCGGGCTGGAGAGATCATCCAAATTTGAAGTGGAGGGAGCCTCAACAACAAGGCGGATATAGACAGCCACCTCCAGGGCTCTATCAAAGGCCGTTCGCACCACCACAGCCTCAACCACAAACTGCCCAATCAAATTCAGGTTCGCCATTGGATAATGATCAAATGCTTAAAGTACTAACTTCTTTGACTCAGGGTTTACAAAATCAAGCCAAAGAGATGAGCGAAGTGAAGAAGCAAATTGGGCAGATGGCGGAGTTCATGGGACAGTTTAGAGAAGAAGGCAAACTACCTAGCTCAACCATTGTCAATCCAAAAGGAGGTTTTGAAACGGCTAAAGCTATCATCTTGAGGAGTGGTAAAAAGATTAGAACCAATCCTTGTTGGCTGCGCAAATCTCACGGCTTGGTGCTCTGGGCCGAGGGGATGTGCGTCAACACGTGACGTCCTTTTATTGGATGAGGTGCGGTTGTGCGCGGGCGTGCCAGCACGGTCTACCGTGCGTCGAGATGGTGATGAGGTTTGGGTAGAAGATGGTTAAATGATGCGCCTGTTTTGCATTTGACTCCTAATCAAACGATTGTGGCCGAGAGAGGAACTGATCTCGGTCATCAGGTTCACGACCTGAGCTACAAGGCCGTTTAGTGGTGGTGTTGGTGGTGGGTTTTAGGCGGTGCTCTGGCACGTTGCTCAGAGAGCGACGGTCGTATGATATATGGGGTGAATGAGATGATAACAGAGATGGTGCTCCGGCGCCTTGA